AAAAAAAAAATTTTAAATTTTTTTTTTTTTTTTTTTTTTTTTTTTTCAAAAATTATACTTGTAAGAAAAATTTATTTTCTTTACAAAAACATTATAAAACTTTACCGAGGAAAAGGCTAGTTCGACTTTGTATAATAAGCAAACTGAATATTTTTACTTAATATTCTTCATTGAAATGTTGAACTTGCTAAGATTTTCAATATATCTTAAATAAATTTGATGTTTATGATGAACTTGTGACACAAATTTGCGAACACATAAATCTATGAAATACTTGAAACAAGTGACATTTACTTGAATGCAATATGTATCTTTTTCCATGTGCACGAATTTAATTACATAGAATATTAAGGTCGTATCATGTCGATTTCCATACGACGGACTAAACTTCCTTCGTCGATGCGGAAAAATCACGATTGCGAAAATGACAGCGCCACGAAAATTAACCGTGATACAAGCCAACGAAACGGCCGCGACTCGCCGTGCAATCGCGCGATGTCGCGCGCTTTTCGGCTTCGATCGCAATTAGTCTATCGTCCTCGCTCTGGAAGCGACGCTCTAACCGGAGGGATCTATTTTCCGCGGTATAGAATTACGTCGACGATGCGATACGATGCGATGTGGGCGCTCTCGTTCGCTCGCTCACTCGCATCGGCTTTTGCGCATTTCTCGTCGGGTTTCGGAGCGGATCGACGGCAACGAGGCGACGGCTGTCGCGACTATTATCTGGACACGCAGCGTTTCGCAACGATTTTCTGGTAGCTGATATCGCCCTTTGTCCGCCGACTCGCTACGCTCGGCTCAGGGCAGATTAGAGAACAGCGAACATATTTATTTATAGAATCGTCCGCCGTGCGTGCTCGGCATACGTGTGCGTGTTTCGTCGCACGTGCGTGTGTCTGTGCGCACATGTGCGCTCGCGCTACGCGACAAGAAGAGGAGGAGGAATGACGAGGGAACTGGGGGGAGGGCCGGTGGGAGGTGGTGACGACGACGACGGCGAGCGAGACTGCATCGCGAAACGGAAGACGCGTGTGCATGCCAACAGAGCCGTCGGCTTTGTGAAAAAAAGCGCGACGTCTTGCGCCCGCACTCGTCTCGGGAGAAGAAATTCCGCTGAAACGCGGACAGACAGCGAACTATACACGAAGGTTCTGCGCAATTCCGCGCGCACTTGAACGTTTCGAGGTTTTCCTTGTGTTTTTGCACAGCATTAGCGATAACGACGCGGCCTAGTATCAGTGTTATTCTACGTCAACACATTTGTCTCGAATCGAGTCGGTCTCACTTCTTGACAGAAATCTGACCAAACGTCATTTTTCTCTCTCTCTCTGTCTTATTCGTGTTTTTATACTCGAATTCGAATATATCGGAGTTTAAATTGAATAATTTTATTGTTATTATTATTGAAGCTTTGTTCTTCGAACTAAAATATTTTTAAAATTAAATGAGATATTACACGAGACGTATTGATGTCTAGTCTGTAAAAGTTTTGTTTTTCAAATATGAATATTTGTGCAGTAAAAAAAAGCTATTAAAATAAAAGTGCCAATGCCTACACATTAATGACAACTGATACTCAACTCTGAATATTCTTATTGTGTTGGTCTTTAAATACAAATATTTAAATTTTCGACATAGAATATATATGTACATATATATTCTACGTTGATAGTTCACATATTCGTTTTTAAGAATCAAAGGATATCCAGAGACATTTTTATCAATATTATTAGTGCCTAGGCGTCGGTACCCTACTTTCAATATTCCTCATATTCAGTCTTTAACGTGGGGAAGTTCCAAGGAAGAAAATTGTGGCATCTCTCTTGGTCTTATTTGCACTGCAAATACAATATCCTGTCGTGTCGCGTAACGTGGCACACGTATCGAACAAAGCTCTCGGGGAAGCTCCGTGCCAAAGCGGGGTCGTCGCGCGAAAGACCAAGTGATTCATGCACGTTCGCGCGGGCGAAGACTTGTCGACGTTGATGTATGCACGTATAATGACTTGTTCGAATGAGCGAAGTTCGAATAGTCCCGCGACGAACAATGCGGAGCAAGGTGAACGGCCCGAAGGCCGTCAAGAATGGCCGGAAACTGTCGGTCCGGCGACGCTCGCAAATGAAAAACTATCTTCTATCTTTCTCTCTCTCTCTCTTTTCACAGGCAAACATATCATTTACCAACTAAAACAATCCGACGTTACCCGGGTTACCACACTATTACAAAATGTCAAGGGGATGAAATCAGAGTGAGAGGGTGGAGGGTGTTCAAGTTTCATTTGGCTATATCTTCCGAGTCCTAGAGAGTAATTATGCGAAATTTCGTCCAAATTCGGTCAAAAGGTTTAGGAGGTACGGAGAACATATAGACAGATAGCTAACACACACATTCTGTTTTATATATATATATGTCGTTTTTTAGTTTTCCCGAGAGATTCACGTCTCCAATGGAATTTTTCGTTTTTGACAGAGAGAAAGCGGTCCACCGATTTTTCTAATATTTTCTCAACATTTCTGCAATATTTTCTCGAAATTAGACTCACCCTGTCTGTCGGCACTCTTGACGCCGCACCTTATCGCGTTTCCCTTCTCTCGCTTTCGACGGCCGCGGAGAGTAAACAGCGCTCGATAAGCCAGTTTACTCTCTTAAAATCTCTTGAAATGTATCTGCCGATAATAGCTGCGCGATGCAATATAACGGGACCGTCCCTCGCGAGAGACCGTAAATTCTTTGCCGTGCCAAATTGTAAGGTGCCCGCTCTGAAGGCCGCCGCAATAAATTAAGATTGAGACTCGCCGCGGAGGTCGAGACAATTGATCAAGATCCGAAAGAGAGAGAGAGAGAGACAACAAGGAAAAAAGAAGTCGGACGGTTGAAAAACAAGTGATCGTCGAGTCCTTCTCGTTCGCCGAAGGTGTTCCGTTTCGCTTTGATGACCGATATCTTCAATTCTTTTTGCATGCTGTGTCGCGTCTTGGCGAGAAGCAAAACCAAGAAAAGATCAGTCTGCAAAAAGTAAACTCGTCTGACTTCCTATCGGACTTGCAAAATTGTCATCCAACGACCGAGATTTCATTCGATAACTGCAAGATCTAGAAAGAAAGAGCTGTCAAAATGACAGGTTTCGTTCTCGAATCTTTTTGTTGTCTCTTGTTCATTGCGCATTACAATTTTCTCAGAAACTGTGCCGCGCCATTCGTTTTTCCAACGTGCAATATCGCGCTGTCGAGCATATCACCGCGCAATAAAACGACTCGATAAAGACGATGTTTCTAGTTCGAAGGCGAAGCTCCTCGATTATAACGGACAGACAGACAAACACAGATCGATCAGTCCATCACCTCGGGCAATTTCCTCAATTCCACCTGGTGTGGTGGCGACTTGGTAAACTTCCTTGCGCGTTTTATCGAAATTCCAGAGGACGTGACGCTACACACACCGACACGATTTGGTAACGCCTAAGTTTAACGCTCCGGACATTCCTGAGGAGGTTCCCGCGCTCGCGACGCTTCGCGATGGGTGAGAGAGCGAACACGGTGGGTGGACGGCTGAATTCGCCATTCGGAGCTGCTCTAAGTAATTTTAGCGATGACACTTAAAGCGCCTACGGTGCGTTCCCCCGTCACGGATCGTGATCTCGCCGAGGGAGATGCATCAATCGATACTGCACACACGCCGGACGGGGATCGTTCCTCCGACGCGCTCGAAATTTTCGCGCCCGAGCTCTGGACGTCCTTGTTGTTTTGGTTCTTATATAAATACTCGAACTTTCAGTGTAGAGAAAATAAATACACATATATGTTTTGAACATATACATTGAGAGAAAAAAACATCTAAGAAATAAAAGATACTTATTTGCTGGGTACTACATACATATACACATATTTACTCTCTTTCTCTATACTAATATAAAATATTTTGTTTTAAGAAAATATACATTTTCTCAAAAGCTGTATATTTTCTTGAGACTTCAGTTTATCGTGAAACAATTGTTTGTTCTATTTAAATAAGAGAATTTCGGTACAAACAAATATATTATTGGTATCCGCCACATAAAGTATTTTTTAGACACTTCTGGAAAGTTTGAATATTCATATTTAGAGGCCAAGACAAATAAAAATGTCCAAGATTAAATACGGACATTGATACTTTTCACCCTAATTTGCATCTTTGTGCAAACAACGAGAGTGCGATTGACATACAGAGGATTACATATTAATCGTCGTCTTATACACGTTGCATAATTAAAATCAGGAATTGTAAACAACGAAGAATAAAATTCTTTTTTCTTTGCGCAACCCGCATGAATAAAAGATGCGGTTGCGAATTCGGGTTCCATTCGCGGGCAATTTGAGAATTCCCATCGCGGCGACGGCGACGACGACGACGACAACCGCGGCCTTCGTTAGCCGCCAGGATGACCATTCGTAATTTTAGAAATGATAGTGAGCCGCACGTCTTCTCGCGAGCGGGCGAGAGAGAGAGAAAGAGCGAAGGACGCACTTCTCCTTCCTGCGTCCTTTTGTGCTTTCTGGGAAACGCGCACCGCGTATAGATTACGTCTCCGACTGGCGATTGGACGGTGCGATAATGATGCCGCGAGGTTGTCGCTACGTGAGCTGCGATTCGAGGCGCACGTTAATATCGTCGCAGTTAGAGACGACGATTCGAGAAGAACCTCTGCTCTCTCTCTCTCTCTCTCTCTCTCTCTCTCTCTCTCTCTCTCTCT